GATGCCACTCCCTCGGGACTCCTGTGCCTCTGGCCAGCGCATTCATGGGAGGCAGAGCAGGCCAGGGTGCAGGACACCATTGGGATCCCAGGGAGGCCACTGAGTCTGAGGAGCCCTCCCAAGCCTGCAGGTGTGCAGGGAGGAGCTGTCTACTGGTCCTGGTCATGAGCCTGGGGCCGGGACAGCTGCTCAACAGTATGACCTCCAGGCAGCCGTCCCCAGGTGAGCTCAGGTGCCACTGCTTGGGCTGTCCTTGGCTAAACGGGTCATGTCCAGAAACACAGGACCCTTCCTGGAAAGGACTGAAGCCCTGGCTGTGGGCACTCTGCCCCTGTGGGTTTGGTATGTTTGTACAGCCAGGGGACAGGGCTGCAGCCCAGCACTGGTGTAGAGAGGGGCTCTCCTGGCCCAGCCCCAGGGGAAGGGCGTCACTGCTGCCTGAGGGTGCGGACTCACAGACTAGGGACCTGCTGGTGGCGAGGGTGTGGCCCAGGGGGCGTTGAGCAGCTGCTTCCTGTGCAGCTTCCTGTGAAGCTTGTTCTTTGGAGGCTAACCTGATTTGTATTTGGCCTTTGTTGGCCTTGCGCCCTGTGTAACTGTGTGCCTCTGTCCCCAGTGCCAGATCATATACCCCCGCCAGCAGCTTCTGACTCTCCGAGAGCTAGAGATGATCGGCTTCATTGAAAACAACGTGTCCAAGTTGAGCCTCCTTCTGAGTGAAATTTCAAGGTGCAGATTGAGCTCAGTTTTGCAACCAAGAAAAATGCATTTGCTGAAGTAACTGGGGAGGTGGGGAGGGCTTGGAGGTGAGCTCTCCAGACAGCAGAGGAAGACACGTGTGTGCACACGGGTCAAGCATGCAGAGTGCAACCTCCTCCCAAAGGCTCTATTACCCGTGAGCCCTGGGAGCAGCAGGCACTTCCACCTGAACCCTCCAGATGGCCCTTGGTGAGGGGCGGTGGGGCACGAGGCAGGACCTGGCAGGATGGTGGAGTGTGGTTGCAGGTGCAGAGGCCCGCCTCACCTGGGCTGCACAGAGGCCAGCGGTGGTGCTGGAAGGCGGGTTCCTGTGGGGAGGGCTTTGGAAGGCTCTGGTTGAGGGCTGACCGAAGGAGACTTGCTGAAACAGGACAGTTCAGACATTGCCACATGGCCTGGTCACTGGGGACTGGGCTGGCCCAGGCCTGCCTGCAGTGTGCCACTGCCCACTTGGAGCAGGACTGACAACAGGGCCTTGCACCCATGAGACCACGGTTGTGTTTTGAGGTCACCTCACCACCTCGAGGCTCAGGTTTTGGAGTGCTGAGGGATACTGGTCCTGAAGCCAAGCCCCTCTGAGCTGGACACCTCTGAGCCTGGTTGTTCTCACACAGGAAGAGCGAGGGCCTGAGTGGCCGGGTCTTGAGGAAGCTCCCTTTCCTGGCTCATGCACTATACATCCAGGTGAGTCCCAGGCCGCCCCTCCTGCCCTGTCCACCCCAGCGGGCAGCATCAGTGTCTCCTGACTCTCTCTCCAGGTAGGGGAATGGGCCTGAGTCTTCAGTGTGGGTTGTCTGGAGCCCTGGGGAGCAGTGGCCATGACGGGTCTGTTCACGCCGGCACTCACACAGGCACAGCAGAGCCTGCGCAAGTCACGTCCACATCTGCCATGGCACAAGCCAGTGCTGGGTCTGTCCAGCCCGCTGGCTACTGAGCCCCCATTGCCATTGTGCGGGCTGGTTGCTGCCAGGTGTCCATAGCAGCGCATGGTACCACCCAGCACCCCGACTGTGTGTCTTTCCAGGCCCCCACCGTCACCATCGAGGGCTTCCTCCAGGCGCTGTCTCTGGCGGTGGACAAGCAGTTTGAAGAGAAGAAGAAGCTCTCACCCTGTATTTGACCCTGGGTGGCATGTCTGTCTCAGCTGCCCTCTGGAACCCACTGACCTACCTGGGTGCACAGCCCAGAGCTCGGGCACAGGTGCCTCGTCGGAGCCAGGACCTGTTCTTGTCATCTAAATGCGTGTCAGAGGCAAGCAGCCTGTTCTCTTCGTTGTTTTTAGAAGATAGTTCAAGTTCCGTTGGCCTCTTTGTAAAGAACTGTCTCCATGTGTCTGTTTCCATCCTGTCTGGCCAGTCAGACGCAGGGTGCTCACCAGAGCTGTTGAGAGAAGGGAAGTGGAGCAGGCCTGACCCTAAGCCAGCACAGAGGTGGGAGGGCCCAGCCACCTTCCAACCTGAGTGATTTAACGGGTCAAGAAAACTGTTCCCATGTAGCAGAAGTTGGGAAGGAGATTCCAGGCAGGAAGCCTTGCGTGGCCAGGCGCTGCCTGTTGGAGGGCACCGTGCAAATGCTCCTGGCCAAGCACCCTACCCTGGCTGAGCCTGCTGGTGCAGGGCGGCAGGTGAGGTCCTGCAGGCTGGCTTGCTCTGTGGCGACGGGAGGCAAGCGGGTGGGTAATGGAGTGCTCCGTGAAAGCTCGTCTTGCTCCTGTCTTGGGCCAGAATGTTGATGTGGCGTCTGCCTAGAAAGCAGGTGTTACCTGTTATCGTGGAATTTCTGAAACATCGTCTGCTGTCAGAAGCTTTCTTGTTTGATTCCCATGTCTCCAGCACTGAGTCGTACTGAGGCTTGCTCAGGTGCCCCTTGCAGTCCCACCTGCCTTCGCCGAGGGCCTCGCAAGGCAGTGCTGTCCAGCAGCAGCAGCACTTGCTTCAGGAGCCTGTTGCAGGCGGAAGCGCTGGGTTTGGAGCGAGCACCGAGGCTTGACGCCTGCAGATTCTAGTCTCCGCCTTCTGCTGGGCCTCGACTCCTGGAGCCACCCTCTCTGGGAAAGCTGAGCCCAGCCCTGGTCCCCGACACCCATGGGAGGCCACAGGCAGTGGGCAGAGCAGTGAGAGGTCTGTGCACCCTGAGTGGCCAACAGCCATTCTCCAGGAGGTCCTGGAGTCCAGCGGGCAAGGTGACCGTTGTGCCCACATTCTTGTGAGAAAGGGTCTTAGCATTCTAAGACAGCTGGAGCGGGAAGGTAAAGCACCCCTCTGCAGTGGACGCAGGTGTGTGTCCAGGAGACAAGTGTCGTCAGCAGGGGGCTCCACCCCACAGTGACCTCACTGCGAGGCTGTGAGGGCAGGCTCCACCCTCTGGAGTGCTCAGCTGACTTCCAACAGCCACTTGGGGCCTGTGGGCCCTGCTAGGCTCTTGGGGCCTGTTCCAAGCTTCAGGGTGGTCAGGGAAGCCCTTCTGGGGAGCTGGTTTGGTGCAGTCCCAGAGGGGACCCTGTGTGTCCGGCTTGCCCTCCACGTTCACAGAGCCATTGGCTCTGGTGGCTGTGGACCGTTCTGTGGGATCCCAGCTGGGCTCCTTCCCTGGTGTCTTCTCAGTGGGCTCGGCCCTGTGCCCGTCTGCAGCCTCTGTGAGCTCCCCACTCCCCCAAGCTGCACCCCAGGCTCCCTCAGGGCCCACTTAGCCTCGCGGGACTTCCTGGCTGCCACTCTGGGGTGGCAGTCCTGTGACTGCGGCAGTGTCTTCAAGGCATTCTGCCTCTGCCTGGCCTTCCAGCTCCTGTCAGGGAGGTCAGCACCCACTCTTGCCAGCAGGCCCTGGCCGAGTTCCCTCCACGCTGCCCATCAGCAGCCCCCGGGCTCCAGCTTCCTCTGGGTGGCAGGTGCTCAGGCACCAAGCAGAGGCCTGAGGAGAGCAATCTCAGTCCAGCGACGGGGCCTGAGTGAGGCAGCGCAGGAGGAAAGCAGCTCAGGGCTTGGACCCCAGAGTCACACCCAGCCACACCCCCTGCCTCAGTCACAGCGCGCGAGCACGCACACACACGCGCGCACACACACACACACACACACACACCCTCCCCAGCAGGGGATCAATGCACTGACTGGGTTACAGCTCTCAGCCCCCACCTCACCTCTGAACTTTCCTTCTTGGTCCTCACTGAGTGTTTGTGGACACCTCCTGTTTAACCTAAGGGTCAGCATGTGAAGGCCACAGCCAGGTGCTGTGCAGACCTGCCCCAGCATGCCTGGTTCCCCCAGACAGCCTGAGTCCAGGACGTTCCTGGACACAGCTGCATGGTCATCTGCAGGTGCTTCCACACCAAGCTGAGTGGAGGGGCTTCTGGGTCACAGCCAAACCTCTTACAGTCTGTTTAACACACACCTGGACCCAGGCTCCATCATCCCTGGCTGTGAGTGGCTGCCCTAGGGCCAGGGGCTCACGCTGTGGGGCCAGGACCCCCCTCCCAGCCACTCAGAGGTGTCGGGGTGACCCTGTGCAGGCTGCTCCGGTGCTTATGGCCCCACCAGCTCTGCTTTTCTGAGCGCTGGGGCTGGGCGGGGTGGGTGACTAGGGAGGGGCCACCTCTTGTCCTCTGCTGTCAGGGTCCAGGTTAGTACAGAGGCTCTCTGTCCCAGGTCCTGTGCCTCACCCTGTGCACGTTGACTCCTGGGTGACGTTCCTCCTGCAGAGCCTCTGTGCTGGGATCCTCCGTGCGGTGCTGCCCTGACTCTCCCTTGCTAGCCCTGCACATTGGTGGGGTGGTGCACACCCAGGGTTCTGTCCCCATGCAGGCACCTTCAAGACCAGGGAGGTGGACCAGCAGAGGTCCTGGGAGTCCCTTGTGCCCATGGGCTGCTGCTCATTGCCATGGTAATGGAAGGCACAGAGGTCTGGCTCCTGGTAGGAGGGTGACCAGTTCCAACAGATGGGCAACCTAGGGTCTTGGGGTGGTTGCTCCTTTATTGCAGGGCCAGAAGGAAACTTCTGGAAGTAACTCCAGTGCCTGCGCAGACAAGAAGATGTACAGATGCCTGGGTGAAGCCTGCTGTCTGCATGCTGTGGGGCATACTTTCTTGTGTGACTGCAGATGTCCCTGGTCCCTTGCTCCCCGCCCCTCTACTTCCCACCAGTTAGTCTCTGTCCTGTTTGTGCACCATGGGACACCAAGGCTCGTGGCCCACATCTCTCCCTCTTTTGTGGTGACTGGTTGCAGTGGCGAGGATGCGTCCTCTGACCCCTGGACCGGAGTTGCTGAGAACACATGGCCCTTGTCATGCCCCCAACAGAGAGTGGCCTGGATGATGCCCCTGCTGTTCCAGAGGTAGCTAATGCAGCTGTGGGGGTGTGGGGCAGGATGAGGGACTGAGGGCATGATGTGGAGAGCCTTGCATGGCTGGCCCAGGACCTGTGCGTGGCTTGTGAGCCAGAGTACACTTGCACCAGGACTTCAATGGCTGAGACTATGCCCAGCCAGGGGCCTGATGGGGCCGGCCCCTATCCAGACCCATTCATACCTGGCCAGAACACAACACCTATGGGCAAGGTCAGCAGCACTTCCCAGAGAGTAGATGCACTGGACAAAAGGTCCCGAAGCCCCCAAGGGAATGAGAGGGTCCTAGGGCACTGGGGTTAGGACAGGGTGAGAGAGGGGTGCTGCATGTTGCAGGACTCAGCTGGGGTGGGTGAGGACCTTGGGTCTGCAGCTGAGGTGCCTAACATCCACGGGCCAGGATGGAGGGAGGGAGACGTGGGGACTGAGGGCAGGGAGAGGCTGGGACACCAGGGTCTCAAGGCAGAGTGCAGCAGCCATCAGAGCCCAGGCCCTGCAGGTTGAGGACCACCAGACACACTACCCCTTTCCCGAAAGTGCATTCTGGGATCTGAGCTGGTAGTGTGGGTCTGCCTCAGGCCACCAGAGTGCAGCCCCATCCCATGGGCAGGACAGGCCCTGAGCAGCTGGGGCCCCATGAGCCCCTTGCGCAGAGGCTGTTCAGCCCCTCCCCACAGCTGTGTGCATCTTAGGGGCAGGCTGGGTCCTGGAGAAACCAAAGGAGACAGGCCTGGGCACCACAGCCACCAGCCCCCTCGGCAGGGGCCTGGGCTCCTCCCCGGCTGGCCTGGGCACCTTCTGGCCCTGCTGGGTAGGGCACTAACATGGCTCAGAGGTTCAGGGATGGCATTGGGAAGAGGAGTCCTGGAGTTGGCTGTCTGACGCCTGTCCCCAGCAGAGCCCTCCTCTGGAAGGTGACTGGCTCAGGAGACTTGTGGACTGTGGACACCCTCACGCAGCAGCTGTGAAGGGGAGCAGGAGCCCCTCCGCAGCCATGGCCCCAGGACACCTGGGGGAGGTTGCAGTGACTCAACAGGCTCCTAGTGCCCAGCAGCAGTGAGCCAGCACCACCCAGGGAGCTGTGGCTGAGCATGGAGACCACAGGGCTTCCTGGCCATGCCAGGCATGGAGGTGCAGGGCAGGGTTGTCCGGATGGAGTCCACAGTTCCCATGGCAGCGTCCCGTTCTGCAGGGCTGGGTCCCTCCAGCCAGAAGCGTGTGGTGCGCCCAGCTGCCCCTTGAAGGCTGGTCTGGTGTAGCACAGGAGGCAGAGCTGTGGCTCCCCAGGGATGGCAGCCACCCAACACTGGGGTCACCAGTCCCAATTCGGAAGCAAGCATCTCCAGCCCCTTGAGCTCCACTCCTGCTGGTGCCAGCTGCTCCCTCGGGTAGGGTCACCATGTCCCCAGAGGGATGGCGCTGGGAATAACCAGTCTTGGGCAGAGTCAGGCTACTGTAGGCTCAGAACAAGCCTGGGAATTTGGAGGAGACTGGGAGCTCAGGGCCATCCGTGCAGACATCAGTCATGCCGTGTCTTCTCCCCTGCAAGATGAAGGGCACCAGTTTACACAGCGTGAGAAGTAAGTGCCGCGTCACCGGCAGGGCCACCAGCGCCCTTGGGAGCTTGGCAGTGGGTGTGGGCACAGAGGCAGTGGAAGGGTTAGGGCTGAGAAACTCAGCCCAGCTCCCGTTCTTCCTGTGGAGAACTCCAGGCTGCAGGAAGTGGCCAGGAGGAGATTCCAGGCCACCGTGCAATGAGACCTCCTTGGTGACCGAGGTGCCAGCCAATGTGGGGGCTCAAGCATGACTCATGCTTAAGGAGCAGCACAAGAAACAGGCACTGGATCTGGAGGGGAGACCAGGAGCAGGGGGGACCAGCCAGCCCTTGTCATGCTGACTCTGGACTGTGGGCTGGAGGCACAGGTGCTGTCCCAGCACCTGGAGGCCAGCTAGTCACCAGCTGAGAATGTTGACAGACTCCTGCCTCCAGGGTAGGTCCTCCCTCTGGGGACAGGCTACAGCCTGGTGTGAGCAGAGCCACTATCCTCTGCAGTCGGAGTCCTTCCAAAGGGTGGGCCTGGCTCCACAAGAGGACAGGTGGAGCAGGGTAAGGGGCAGTGGTCCTGCTGGTTGGCTGCTCTGGCAAGTCTTGCTTTCTGTTCCGTACACTCAGGGACATCCCACGTCTGTGACTGGGTCTGCTGTGAAGCAGAAGTGACTGTGGCGTGTCCTGTGCTGCTGGGCGCTCTCCCCTCCACAGAGGGGAAAGGGGGCTTCCGGGCACGCGGGGGAGCAGACAGCACACAAGTCGCTCCCTCCATTGCCGAGCCCTGGGAAGGAAACTGGGGACAGGAGCAGGAAGCCACTTTAATCTAGTCCTGGGCTGGGTGCTGCTGTGTTGGGCAGAAGCAGAAGCCCGCAGGGGCGGGGCCCACAGGCAGGCCAGGTCCCGTCTGCCTGCGGCTCT